ATTAAAAAAGATTGCATGGAAATACAAGCAATCATATATTCTGGCCCAACATATATACCAATCAGAAGTGCAAAACATGATTCATCAACAGCACTTAGTCACTTAAAAGACATGAACAGAATAAACCATCTTCCTGCATTTAAAAGCAGCTTATTTACTGTAGATGGAGTTAGCAAACCAGTCATGATTATAACTGATGGGCCAGATGAAAATCCAAGATAAGAAAAAATAATTCATTGTGTGAAGACTTATTTCAAAGAGCATGACCTTGATGGAATGTTTGCGGCCACTAATGCTCCTGGCATTAGTGCCTTTAAGAGGGTAGAGAAAAAAAAGGCTTCACTAAGCCATAACCAAGCAGGAATTATACTTCCATTCGATCATTTTGAAAGCCATCTTAATTCAAGAGGAGAAACAACAGACAAAGTTATGGAGAAGGCAAATTTTGCCAAAGCAGGTGAAGTTTTTTCACAAATTTGGTCTAGCAGTCATTGATGGATTTGAAACTAAAGCCAAGTACATAAAACCAAACAGTGAAAAATGTGTACAGTTAAAACATTTTGGAGCAGAGTGGGATGCTAAACATGTCAGAGAAAGTCAATACTTCCTTCGAATTAAAAAATGTAATGATCAAAACTGTTGTGGTCATCGTCACAGCTCACTGTTTCACCTTATTCCAACTGGTTTTCTTCCATCATCAATTTCTTAGTTCCAAGGAAGAAATGGTCTTGAATGTAATTATACAAAAAACAACTTTGCATCCCTCTTTTTAAACTTATCACCTCGCAAAACAATTTTGCCCACAACAGTTACAAAAAAGTATCCCAATGGATCGCCATACAACTACTCATGTCCAAGCATTCAAAATTCCTTACCAAAAAGAATTTGTACCAATTGCAGTTTATATTTTGCCACTATCAAATGAATGAAACAACACAAAACAGTTTGCTCAAGTATTGGATATTTGAATGAGATTCAAAAAATTAGTCCTCATTGCCTAGTTACTCATCATCTATCTAAACTCATTGTGTGCTTTTTTAAATTCCAACAAGAAACAATTGAGTGGTATGATCAGGACGATGTTGATACCCCTGACCTCAACTGGTCTTTAGTTCCATGTTCTTTAAGTTATTGAAGAACATGGAACTCCAATACTTGAAGGTCTAATTCCGATTTGGGAACATATTTAGGTTCTAAACAGATATTCATCAATTGTATTTAAAAAAAAATAAATAAATAAAATTGTATACAGTTATAATAAAATTTATCTTTTGTCTTTGTCACATCACGCATAGAGGGGTGGGGGGTGGTATTTTTAAAAATGCCACAAAATGTCATATAGAGGAGGGGTGAGGGTTAGTTATAAAAACAGCGTATTAAAAATCACATACTATTTGAACAGCCCAACTTTAAGCAAAAAACAAAATGCCTACACAAAGCAAATTTTGGTGCAGCACTGGGGGTACCACCACCAAAATTATTTTTCTAGAATAGCCCCTGATTATATATTAGCCATTTTGACCCTCATGAACAAATTTTAATACGCGGAGTGTCATAAAATATTCCCAAGGTATTGTTTTCTTAAGGAAATTTTTTTATTTTTTATTTTGGATGACTATTTATACTTGCTCCACTCTTTTAAAGTTTAACATACTTACATTTTTTTTAATTTACATTTTAAAACAATCAGTGCCAATAGAAATTTACAAATCATTAACTATATAATAACATCAATACAAGTAATGGAAGGTTTTTTATCTATACCGATTGTGCGTATTTTTATTACTATTATTTTTGTTAACTGGTGGTATTTTAAAAATGCCCAAATTTGTTATGAAATTTAAAAAACGTGGTTTTTAAACACAATAGTGTTGAGGCCCAATACACAGCAATTAGAAATTTGTTAGATACTTTTTATCTCATACAGTTCACCCACTTCAAGCCCTGACTATTTAAAAAAGGTTTGTACAAGATTAGCTTATTAACCTCCTGCCATCATGTCAGAGAGCTTCATATAGCCATGGCCATAAATAAAACTGTTAAGCTGGAGAACAACGTATTTATATCATAAAACCATAAAAAGTTAAAAAATAGTAAAGTAAAGACAAAACTGCTTCACCATTATTTTACGTTATTAAACAGCACCATATTTGTTAATTTTCACAGTTAGGTGAAAATTAACAAATATGGAGCTGTTTCACATGCCTTGAATTTCATGAAATTCAAGTTGTTTTTTTTTAAATCAAGCAGGTTTTTATTCTGAGTAATAAAATACTCAGAGAGATCAATAGAATGACTACATTTCTCTCTCCAGGGGATCGTGGTTTTTGACCTGCGTTTTTTCTGATTCTGCAATTTTGAAAGTAAAACTTAATTTCAAAAATTTTGATATTTTATAATGAGATTATTTAAGAATAATTTATGCCATAAAGTAACAAATTGTTTAAAAACAATGGTTTGCAAAATGGTTTAAAATCAGATGTAAAATACAAAGAAAATAACTCTAAACCAATTTTTTTTTCTAATGACAGACTTTTCTTAAAATCAGTAGAAATATAATAAAAATGAAATCAATAGAAATTGCACTTTGATTTTATCTTGTCAAAAATAAATGTAATAAGTATTTAGCAGTGTCATTTTAAACCTTATTTTATCTACATTGCATTATTTTTAATTTACACTTTTAAAATCAACAAGACTATTGGCAGATGTAAATTGAGCCTGCAGCAGAGGTAAAATTTAAATCATGGTAAAACTTTAGAGTTGTTTGGTGCTGGCATTAGCATCTTTTGACCGAGATCACAATATAAAAATGGTAAAAAGTTCTGTATTCAAAAACAAAAGGAGGTCTGAAAAGATGTAAAAACAGATAGAATCAAAGCTGAAATCCTTCTAAAAGCAGTTTTTATTGATAAAGACCAGCCACTAGGTTATGAGTTGTATATTTCACTAGACTACTGGTTAACTTTGGATATTTTAAGTCATAGTTTGAAAAAATGCCTACCGATGAGACTCTCTCAGACTTTTTGAATACAATGAATTCCAAAACTTTTAAAATCTTTCAAAGTTGCTAACAACTCATCAGAACTCACAGCAAAATCGTATATCTATTGAGCATAGTTTAAGAACAAGAAATATATTTCATGTTTTTAAAAATAAATTGCAGGGTAGGATATTTATTTTTTAAAGCAACAAACCTATTTCTTGTTTTAAGAAAAATATTTCGTAGTAAAAAATTCAATTTTGCTCAGCTTACAGTAAAATTTATTCAAGATAATCTAGAGCGTGTGATGAGCTTGGAGAAGCTACAAAAGCTACTTCAAATAAAGAGTTCTTGTAAAAAACCATTAAAAAGAAGAAGAGTGGATTCAAGGACCTAGCTACGGCGACTGCTTTCTCACTTTCTCATTTTTTTGAATTTTGATTCCATAACTGCAAACTCTGAACCTTAAAAGTACATTTAAAAATTATTTTTTATATATTTTCTTGAGATATTTGTGCCATGTCTGTTAGCTATCTCAAACACCAAAAAATACTGGATCCTTCACTGATCTATGGTTCGATGCCTAATCTGGGCTATTTTTCAACATGAAGCAAGCGTAAACCTCAAAGTTAAATGCTTTTCTGCCGTGCTCTGTGATGCGACCATTAGGTCTTCTTGGAGCACCTAAAATAACCACACAAAAAATGTGCATATATATTTTTCAATCACATTTATACGCTTTGATCTCGTTTATTTTACAACAAAAGATCGAAAGTTCTTTATCCAATCTTTTAAAGAAACCATTTTAAATTTGGATTTGTTTGATCCAAGACTCTCGTAGCGCTACTTTTAAAAAAAAAATTCATTTGATACCAAAATGAGGTAAAAATCATAAGGTTTGTTGTATGACTGGAAAAAAGCTCAAAGGTCAACAAAAAATCACTTTACAGTAGCCAAAGCGTAATTTATCTATCGTAAACAGTGAAAGATAGGCACAACATTTCTTAAATTAATAAACATATTTCTTAAATTAATAAGCACAGTGTTTTTTTTTGGTACAGGAATACGTAAAGTAAATATTGTTGAACAAATTAACTGGATTTGACATCAGAATCTATTCACGCCAATGCTTGAAAATGGCCCTAAATTTAGTCAAAAATCATAAATGGCGTAACTTGGAATTATCGGAGCAAATACTTCTATCAAAAAAAAAAAAAAAAAATTTTCATATAAATATAAACGCCACCCATTAGCCACTGAATAAAAATTGGTTGTCAAAAAAAATTATGGGATTGACTATTCTACATAGAGTATTGTTTATAATATGTATAGTATATACATATTAAATATAATATAAATATTGTATATAATATGTATAGTATATACATATTATACACAAGTATTGTTTTAAGAATTTATTTGTGTATTGGTGAATTAATGATGCATAAAATTGACTGCAAAAGAAAATAATCATACAGTTCAAAAATAATGTCAAATTGATCAAATTTCATGGAAATTAGTATCAAGCGAGGTCTGCTTTGAGCTTGATAGTCTCAGCTAGATGATTTGGCATTGAGTTGACCAAATTTTGAGTCTCTTCTGTTGTTATATTATCCCACGCGCTCATTATAACCTCTTTAAAATTGTCTTTGCGTCTAAATGCTCAGTCACTATTTTTTCTGTCCAAAATATACCAAAAATTTTCTATAGGATTCAAGTCCGTACTTTGAGATGGCCATTCCAAAACATTTATGTTATTTGTGTCAAAGTATACCTTTGTTTTCTTAGCGGTATGTTTTGGATCGCTATCCTGCTGAATATAAAATCATTTCCCATTCTTAATTTTTTAGTAGATGGTTGCAAGTTGGCTTTGAGAATTTCACAATACATTGAAGCAATCATTTTTTCATCAATAAATGTTAATTTCCCCATTCGTTTCTGACACATCTACTCCAAACCATCACATTTCTTCCTACATGCTTTACACAACCTCGCAAACAACTTAATTTATATGCTTCTTCTTTTTCGAACTACTCTACTTATTACACAGTAACCCCTCAAACAATTAGAAATTGTTTGAGGGGTTACTGTAATATTGTGATCTTCTTGAACTTTTAAACTCATTTTTTTTATGCAATCTTTAAAATTATGATTTTTTTTAAGTGCATGATTATTTTTTTTGTGTACTGCATATATATATATATATATATATATATATATATATATATACACATAAAAAATATCACTCAACTGAAACACTTTTACTTAAGCTTACTAATGATATATTCAAACTATTTGATAAACATTTACCTTCAGTACTAATGTTACTTGATCAAGTGCTGCCTTTGATACTATTGATCAGCAAAAATTACTTGGACTATTAACCAGTGAAATAGGTATAATTGATTCAGCCCACAAGTGGTTCGAATCATTTTTAATTAACCATACACAAAAAGTTAAAATTGGTAACTCATATTCCACGAACCAAAATGTAAAATATCGAGCACCACAAGGTAAAGTCCTTAATATTTAATATATAAAACTCTTTAATATTTACATGAGACCACTATCAAAATATCTGAACATAATCAATATTAAAACTTTTGGATACTCAGATGATCATCAACCTCTAAATACATTGCTTCCTTCATCTCAGTATAATCCACTAGTCCTATATATACCCAAATGTGTTGAACACATATCTAAATGTGTTGAACACATATCTAAATGTGTTGAACACATATCTAAATGTGTTGAACACATATCTAAATGTGTTGAACACATATCTAAATGTGTTGAATACATATCTAAATGTGTTGAATACATATCTAAATGTGTTGAATACATATCTAAATGTGTTGAATACATATCTAAATGTGTTGAATACATATCTAAATGGATGAGTGAATCATTCTTATGTATTAACCAATTGAAAACAAAAATATTAATTACAGCACCACCTAACATTCAAAAAGATATTATTAAAGATACTTTTATTAACAAGAAATGCATTAGATTTGTTGACTGAGCAAAAGGTTTAGGGGTGATACTTGACAATGAATTATCTTTAAAAATACAAATAGATAAGATTGTTAAAAACTGCTACAATATATTGAGCAAAATATCTAAAATAAAAACAATTCTTATCTCACAAAGATTTTTGCACCATAGTATGTTCACTAACATTTGCACAGCTAGATTATTACAACTCCCTCTATTTCAGAATTGAAAAGTAACTTTTAAAAAAACTGCTGTCTGTTCAAAATTGCGCAGCAAAACTGGTATTTAAAACTAGAATAGAAAATCATGTAAATGACCAGGAATTTAACAAATTGCATTGGCTGTGTAAATAACCGAGCATTATCCCACTATGGTCCTAAACTTTGGAATATACTTCCAAATATCATCCGTTATCAAAAAAACACAATTATTTATGAGAAAAAACTAAAATCTTATTTAATGGTGAATGGTGAACTATTCCACCAGAAAACTCTTGAATGTTAAGTTAAAATCTCTTGAACATTAATATTAAAAATTTTACTAATATAAGAATTTGTTGCACAGCTGAGAAAGTGTTTTGCCAACTTTATCCACTATTCTGGCAAAACACAGTAGCTGTAATATATATATATATATATATATATATATATATATATATATATATATATAACACACACACACACACACACACACACACACATATATATATATATATATATATATATATATATATATATATATATATATATATATATATATATATATATATATATATATATATATTACTATTAATATATTATTATATATATATATCAGATTATTTCAGTATGAAACATATATACACATATAATAAAGAATATACATATTTGACAAAATATAAATAAAATAGTATAAAAAAGCATAACTTTTTAAAGAAACAATTACACCAAAAAACTTTACCTTGATTCAATTTTTGTATTTCTTCTACCTATTTGAGGAGGTTTTGGAAGATGACTTGAAGTGGAAAGATCATCACAACCACTATCACTAATAAGTGAGTCACTGCAATATTTGTGATTATAATCCTTACAATATCTGTCATTACACACTTTAGATATATTTCTTTCGTTTCCGTAATCATAATAAGTATTACTTTTATAACTGTCACTTTTTTTTTCATAATAATCAAGAGAGCAAGCGCTATCTTTGCCAGGTGGTAGCTCATCTTTTGTGCTGACTTTTTTAAAATTGATTCGAACATTTAATGGAGTAGGTTGGTTATTGCTATGTGTATTTTGGTTATTTTGATGGTGAGTGCGGTTCATATATTGATGGTTAACATTGTGTGTATGTTGATGGTTGGAGCTATATGCATTTTGATAGTTAGTGCTGTGTGTATTTTGATGGTCAATGGTGTCAGTATTTATAAGATTAAAAGAGTCATAACAAGATTTTGTATCAGCTGTTTTTATTTTAACATTACCGTTTTCTTTTTCACTTAAAAAATTTTCAAATTCTTCTTGTAAATAGTTTATACTTTCAGTTTTTTCAGCAACAAACTTGTTAGGAACATGTTTAGTTTCATTCTTATCAAAAACCTCTTGTATACTTGAGCGATGTTTAATTCGTTTGAGTCTGGTTTTTAAACTTTCTTCACTGTTATCACCAAACAGACATTGCCTTGAAGGCATGCTTTCTGAGCTGGCAGTAGATATGTTACCAACATAATCAATCTTATTTCTAAGAACACGATCAACAAAATTAATAACAGTAGAATTTTCAGATTGTCTTTTGTGTAAATTTTCTGAACTGTTGCAACGATTTAATGTTATACCAGAATTACTTGTATCCAAAGCATGGTGAGATTGGTTTATTGTTGTCGTTAAGCTGACTACAGAACCATCAAAATCATCATTTTTTTTGGATTTTTTTTTGTTAAGACTTCCAGTACTCCCCATTAATTTCAATTTTGCTTTAGTGCGCATGTCACCATAAATGCTGCTGAAATAATTCACAAGTCCTCGAGTTTTTTTTCTTGATTCTTCTTCATTTACATGATATTCTTCAAATGATGATTTAAGATTTTGCAAACTTACTGACTTTCGAATATAAGCACTTGGAGGTTTTTTTACAATTACATCAAACTCTTGGAATAAACCACTCTCATTTAAAGTACAACCAACTTCCTTTTGTGAACATTTATAACTATTGTAATCTCTTGCAAACTGCTGCCAAGTTTCTTTTTTAAAGTTACTTTCTATATCAAGACAATTTTTACTTTGACTAACAAATTTATTATCACTATGTGTTTGTGGTTGATTTATTGATATATCCTGATTATTTTTATCAGCATTTTCAAAGTGAGTAAGTGGTTGATTTGTTGAGTCAACCTGAATGTTTTTATTATCGTTGTCTTGATTATGAACAATTTTAGATTCCAGAGGATGAATCATACTTTCACTTTCTTTTTTGTCTTTTTCATCTATATTTTTATTGTCATGAAGATTTGAACTCTGATCTTTCATTGTGTGTGCTGAAAAAGTTTTAACTGCTATTTTTTGGTTCTGTTCGTATAATTTATTTTTTGGATCAAAATCACAAGATTTATCTTTATCTCTATAAGCTTCAATTGATGTTAATTTATCTTTATCTCTATAAGCTTCAATTGATGTTAATTTATCTTTATCTCTATAAGCTTCAATTGATGTTAATTTAGAATCAACTTTGTCTTCTTTTGCTACATTAGAGAGTTGGCTATCTTTAATTCGATTAGGGGGTAGATCTTCCTTAATTCGATCAGGGGGTTGATCTACTTTAATTCCATCAAACTTATTTACATTATACAATAAATCATTTTTGTTTTCTGTACTACTAAGCTGTTTCAACAGTTTCTCAATTATCGACTCATGACTTAGCTGTTGCTTAGAAGAAACATTTTTATCTGTTTTTGTTTCATTACAAACTCTAGTTAATTTTGTTTCATTGTTAATTTCTTTTAAATTTTCACCTAAAGTGTCTGTTAAGTTTTTCTCAATTTGATTCAATTTTGGTTCACCTACCTCGGAGTTTTGTTTACTGTCACTTTTGTTTTGATCTGATGGTTTTGAGCTAATTGATTTCTTTGCATCTTCTTTATTACTGATGCTTTCATTGTCATGAGGAGACATCTTATTTGAAGAAGACCCTTTAGCTGTACTAAAAGCAGCTCTATTTAATTTTTGCTTATCAATAGTACCATTTGGTTTAGTAAAATCTTTGTAGCGAGTATCAGTCAAAATATTTTCTTTCATTGCAAGTAAGAAAGCTTTTGGTAACTTAACTTGAGAAGCTGCCTCCTGAATAAATATCAATAAAAAATAATCACAACATATTTATCAAATAAATGCAACAGATTTTTTTTTTTTAATGTTCTAATAACTTCATTACCTTTTTTTCAATAACTTCAGGTGGTCTTCCTTCCGGAACTTGTATATTAATAACATTATCTTCTTCATCAAATTGTAAACTATCCTCTCCTATAGGAAGTGCGGTATTTGATCGTGGTAAATCTGATGGGTTATTTAATGCTTGATCTGGTTTCAAACCAAGAGGAGTTGCATTATATCGTGATGTGCTTGTTGTATTAGTTGTTGTTATTGAATTATCTGTTGAAGTTTTTTCCCAATCATAGGGATCAGTTTGACGAATACCTCTTTTGTTCAAAGCAATGTGACAACATTCTCGTAATTTCTAAGTAAAAGTAGTGAAATAGAATACTTATTGAAGTATAAAAGAAAATTATATATATATATATATATATATATATATATATATATATGAACATATTTTAAAGAAAAACACCATATTTTTTAATCTTGACATGTTTCGTAGTTAACATACTACATTTTCAAAAGATAAAATTACAATTCAAAACTCTGGATATAAATATAAATTCAAAATTTAAAGACATTACAGAGAAATATCAACAGACAAATAGAATTGTTATAAACCAATAAAAATTATAATACAAATTATTATATCGTAATAGCATAAGAAAACTAAAAAAAAAAAAACTAGATTGATAAATTTATATTATAATGAACAGTTTGTTTATTTAAAGATGGGTTTTCCGATTTAATATGGAGTGCTTCTTTAACTTTCAATTTGCTTTTGTTAGGAGCAGTATCCAAAATTTTAAAACAATTACAGTTACTTAGGTTTTTACAATCAACAGATGAAATTAAATGCTTATAAACATTAGATTGTTTGTCAGTTGTAAGATGCTCATAAATCCTTGTTGTTAAGTGTCTGGAGGTTTCTCCAATATAACTGGCATTACATCCAGCACAAGAAAATTTGTAAACAACATTGGATTTGAGCAGCTTAGGAAGTGGATCTTTTATACATAAACTGTTATGTAATTTGTTGGAAGTGAAAATTAAATTAATCATAACATCTTTACAATATTTTTTTATGATTTTATTAACTTCAGATTTAGTAAAATTTGAGTAAAATCCTATTAATGGAAGTTTATAATATCTTATATTAGGGTTATCAATTCTATTTATCACAGATGGATTTAACTTTTTATTAACTAATAATTTAATTTCAGTGTCAATTATTTTAGGTGGATATTGGTTATTTCTCTAAATATTAAATAGATTTTTTATGTCCTTATCAAATCCTAGCCATGTGTTGTTGATTTTATACGTTCTATCAATTGAACAACGTATAAGACTAATTTTATAACTAAAGGGAACAAAATTGAAATTTTTTTTGTAAAAGACTCGTATATGTTTTTTTGTGATAAACTGATGTGGAAACCAAAACAGAATTATTGATAAGAGCATCTAAAAATGCAATTTGATTATTATGTTCTTTTTCCATAGTAAATTTTAAGTTATTATGTTGTTTATTAAGATGTGTAAAAAATTCCTAAGCTTTAAACTCTGAATTAAAAATTGCGATAATATCATCCACATCCAACGTTTATAGAAAATCGGTATGGAGGAAGAGTTAACACATTTTTGTTCGTGAAACTCAATAAAAATATTAGCTAAAATTGGCGCTAAAGGAGAACCCATGGCAACGCCATCCAATTGATCATAATATTTCCTGTTAAATAAGAAATTAGAACCGAATGTTGAGATTTGAAGTAATTTTTTGAACTTAGCTTTAGAAAAATACTTTAAACACGTTTCATCTTTAAAGTATAAATCAGTAGCTATATTTATAGTTTCATTAAGAGGAATATTAGTAAATAAATTTTCAACATCATAGGAAACTATATATTTGTTAGTTATATCAACTTGTTTTAATTTCTCAACAAAAGAAAAAGAGTCACAGGTGAAATAAAGTTTAGGTAAGGAGACAATAAATCAGAAAGATATTTGGCAAGTTTATAATTATATGTTTCGATTCTTGAAATAATTGGTAAAAAGGTGGTAGAGAAGAATCTTTACTAAGTTTGTGCATCTTAGGTAAAGCATAAGTTCTTGCTGTTTGTGAACCAACAGGATAAACTTTATTGTAAATATCATTTTCAAAACAATTACGTTTTTTAAGTTTCCAAAGATACCTTTGTAAAGATTGTTCTCTTTTAATAGTTGAATCATCTTTTAATTCCTTCAACTTAGTTTTATCATTTATAATATTAGTTAAAGATTTAATATAGTCAACCTTATTAAAAATAATTATACCATTCCCTTTGTCTGGTTTTGTGATTACAATGTTTCCATTTTTCTTAAATCTCTTCAATATTTTGTGTTTCCTTATACAACCTTCAGATGGTGTGTATTTATATACATAATTGTTCCCTAAATGAGAAAGTTTGCTTTTGAGTTGAGGTTCTAAATCACTACTTCTAAGTTGAGTATTGAGAAACTGTGCAATACTATCAAATTGAGAGAAAACGTCTGCCTTTTTTATAAATACTGTTCATCTTGTTGTAAAGTATATGATGACATATTATAAACAAAATGTTGGTGTTTAGAAGGAAGGCTAGTAAATTTTTTGAGGGAGCATAATTTCTTCTTGTGAGTTTTAATAACAGAAAGTTCTTTTTTCTTTACGTTATTATTAATTACTTTTAACAAAAAATACCACTGAATAGTTGTGCAATTGTTTCTTACTTGAGATTTTAAACTATTTAATTTGTTCAACAGAGATTTTTGTTTGTTGATTCTTTTATGTAATGCACTTTTGAGTAATCTTTTTTATCAAAATTAGATCCGACTGGTTTGCATGAGGTATATTAAAACCTAAATACTTTAGATATACCTTAAATAGTTTGCAGTATTTAAGAAAGTTTATATCCAAATGAGCTTTATTACTTTTAACATAAAGCTTTTCCAGCTTTCGTAAAATATGTACGGTTAAAAGTCCTCATGAAGATTTTGCTAGATCGTAAAATATATTTCTTGAGCAACGTAATAGCAATAAATGTGAACATATTTTAAAGAAAAACATGATTTTTTTTTTTTAATGCTATTACAGTATAATAATTTGTATTATAATTTTTATTGGTTTATAACAATTCTTTTTGTTATAAACCAATAAA